TTTAAAAAAATAAAAAAAATAAAATATTATAATAAAATATTTATAAATGAAATATTTATATTTTTTGTTGAAAATTATGAATGGAGAGACATTACAAATTATTCATTTTCATTATTTGCAGAATTTATGATCAATTGACAAAAAATATATAATAAAATTAATATATAAAATTTATAATATTTTTTTATAAAAAATGTAATATAAAAAATAATAAAAAAATAATTTTTTTATTTTTATTTAATTATTTTCTAAAACTGCGCATGCTTATGTTTTTTACAGTTATATTAGAATCCCTCTAGCGGAAATTTGTCTAAATATTTTCCCTACTAAATAGGAAGGATCCATAATTGATTCCACATTTGGAACACGTGGCCATATTCTTGAGTAAAGTTTAGGATTCATTGAAAATGTAAGTTTCTTTTATTAATTATTCTTTTTTTATATTATTATATTTTATTAAATATTAAATTTACTATTAATAAATATATCATTTAATAAATTAATTTAGTGTAAACATGTCAATGTTATCGTGCCCAATTGATATAAACAATGAAGAAGCTTATAATTTAGAATGCTATACAAAAGAATCAGCTAATAAGGTATATTTTATAGTATAAACAATATAATAATAATTAAAATTAATTCAAATTATATATACTTAAAAATAATACGAAATGAAATTGCAGAGCATAATAAAGTATAGAATAAAGAAAAATAGGAAACAATATAATTTTGATTCATCAAGCCAATTAGGAACTGTACCGCTAGAAACTGTTCAAGATTTACATGTTCCTACAACAGAAGATTGGCAAGAGGTTTTAATTATTAAATATTATTAAATAATCATTAAATATTTCTTATTCTATCTAACTATGCATGTTATCTAACTACATATATTAATTTTGAATATCTATGCATGAGTATATATATTAATTACATAATTTTAAACATCTATATATGATTATATATATATATTTTAACACTAAGGAAAATGTACCAACCTATGATCCTTGGAAAAGTACTGAAAAAAAAGACATTATACGATGCTTAATAGGAGGTACGAAAACAACAAAGAAGAAATTCAAATTAGCTGAACGACAAAGGATATTAAATCTTCAACAAGAAAATACAAATGATATGAGAAATAATTTTGTGAGACTTTATATTTGTAATTATAATTTATAATTACTTACTAAAAATATAAATTCAATTATTTTATTAATATATAAATAATTTTTGTCATATTTTTTTTCTAGAAACATAAGTATTATAACTTAACTATTTCTCAACTTATTAAAAATTTAAGAAAATTAAATTTGAACGATATTGACACTTTAATAAAAAATATTGATATGAGTAAATTATTTATAAGTGAAAATAATAAAAAAAATATATTTATAGAAGAAAAATATACACAAGGAACTATCGACAAGGTAAAATAAATATTATATTAAGTATACAAAAATTACATTAAAATAAATATATATGAAAGTATATATAATATAATATAATATGATAAATATATATGTTGCAGATGTTGATATATAAATTCAAAGAATTGATGCTTAATCACTTACAAAAATAAATTTTTCTAAAGGAAGAAGTTAAAATTAGAAGTATTACATATATTATTGAATGATTAAATGTTTTCAAAATTTTCATTACTTTTAAAATAAGATATTGTAATATAGATATATATATATTTTATATATAAATGTATATATATCTATAAATAAACATAATAAATATATATATCTATAATATATAAAAATATATATATTATATTATTATATATTTTTATATATTATAGAAATATATATATATTTTTATACTTTTTTATATTAATTCTTTACTATTATTATTAAGTTAAAAAAAATGCATGTATTAAATTAATAATAAGATAAAAATGATTTATTGGTTTTATATATATATATATATGATTCCTGAGATATCCATTATAAAAATTATCTTATGATTTTAAAATTTACATTTATAATATTTGTGTATTTTACTTTATATATGATATACATATATATATATATATATACAAATTTATAATTTGAAATCATATCACAGCAATTGAATATTTCATAATAATTCAAGTATTTTATAATATTGTAATATTGTAATATTGTAATATTGTAATTGTTAGTATTAAACAATAAAAAACTTAAAATCAAACTATGTCTATATAAATCTGTTTTACATTCTATATATTATATGAATTTCTTTTATTAAAATTTTTAATTTTAACTTATTTATAATAAACTAATTTAAATAATTCAATTCTAATACAAAAGAAATAAATATTTTATAGATATATTATTGATTTTCGATTTTAAATTGATCTTTAGAAATTATACAAAATTATATAGATATAATAAATAAAATAAACATCAATTAGTATATTTTATCTTATCTTATATTCGTATAAAATTTATTTAAAAACGTAATTTTATTTTCAATTTATGTTTCGATTATTTCCCAATAATTCTGCTAATAACCATGAAGACGCTTCTTTATGATGTTGTTTTATATGATTCCGCAAATATCTTTTTTGACCAAATTTCATACCGCATTTGCAGTCAAAAGGTTTCCCATTATGTATTGCACGATGTCGCACAACTTCTCCTTTAACAGAAAATGTTTTACCGCAAATTTCACAGGCAAAAGCTTTAATACCTGTATGTGTAGTTTCATGATGAGTTAACCTTTGTCTACTTCTAAAATATTTTTCACAGTACGTACATTTATGAGGTTTATAATCTGTATGTACGCGATTATGAATATAAACGGAATTCAAAGTTCGAAACATTTTTGGACAATGTTCACAGGCATATGGGCGTTCACCGGTGTGAATTCTCCGATGATCGTCCTTTGTTCCTTTGTTTGCAAACGCACGACCACAAATATCGCAAGCATATTTTTTTAATCCTTCGTGTACATCTCTTATATGTCTAGCGAGATCTTGTTCGATACGATAAGATTTTCCACATAAATCACATTTGCAAGGTCGTTTATCAGAATGGACACGAATATGGCGTAGAAACCCTCGTTTTGTAAATATAATCTTTTTACATGTGTCACATTTATAAGAAATTCGATCATTAATTATTTGCTTTGCTTTATTTACAAGTTCTGTCTCGTCTGAATTTTGAATTCGATTGACATCATAATGTCTGTTAATATGCTTTTTTAATTCAGATTTTTTTGTGAAATTTTTTTCGCATAAATTACAAGTATAACACAAAGGCTTTTCAACATCTATAGTGGAAATTTGTTCATTATCTCTATTTTCCTTTTTTGTGTCATTTGTACATTCTAAAATTTCATTTTCTATATTTTTTAATTTATTATAATTATTACTATGCATCGATATGTGATATTCAAAATCTTTATCTTGACCATGATACATTAGCTTACAATACTGACAATAATGCATTTGAGCTTCATGCTCGCCATTCATATGATCTATAAGGTACTTCATATTTACGAAGACAATATCACATTGAGCACATTGAATGTATTCTATCTCCTCTGTGTTTATATTTTCGTTTTCGATCGTTGATATTTGCATAACAGCATCAGATTCAGCCTTCCACCTGTAAAATAAACATTCTGATATCATGTTATCGAATGCAAAACTTTATATATTAAGTTCTTGCTATAATTCTTCAAATAATATTCTTGATTGAATCTTGCATTGATTATTATGAATACATTTATTCGATTAATATAGTTTTTACTATGAAATTATTTGTCACAGATATTGTAAGAATAAGATTTTTATTTGATATGAATAAAAATAATATTTAATTCTTGTTTTTTTTTTAAATTTTTATTATATAAAAAACATGAGATTTTTTAAATAAAATTATTTGTGATGAACGTGCAGAGATGCCTTTTGCATTTATATATATTTAAACAAATTTTTTAAATGACTTTTCGCAAGTTTTGCATATATTTTTTTCTTGTATGAACTTTTTTGTGCTCATTTTTAAAGATTAAACTAAATTTTCATTTTAATACATTGTTATTTCTTGATTGATTTTAGTTTTCTATATTGTTTTTAATAAACTTTGAATGGAATTATCTATTAAATGCAACTTTGTCATTATTTTTGTTTGATTGTGTCTTCACACTATATATGTATAAGTATATGTTTTTTTATATTTTTGAAAAAAATTAAAAAATTTTTTTACTTTCATCCTGCATATCTTTATTTTATTCAAATCTTTTACATTTAATATGCTAATTGATATTTAAATCTGTATAACAATTATCAATATCGCTATCTTCATTGTAATTAAACTTTTTACAATTTATTAAATATTTACTGTTGATGAGCAATTTACAATACAAAAAAATATTTCTGAGATAGCCTGGAAAACTAATAATAATAAATGTACAGATTTGAATGTTTGCTGCCTACTATAAATTCGAAGAAATATCTATGCAGAGCAAAATGATAAAATAGCATATTAGCATGCTCGTAAAGTTTCAATATGTCTGCTTTTAATATGATTATTCAAATAGCGTTTTTGTCGAAAAGCAAGTCCACATTCTATACAAATAAAGGGTTTTGTTTCAGAGTGAATTAGTTTATGTCTAACAAGTTCTGATTTTACTCGAAATCTTTTCGAACACACGTCACAACCATAATTTTTTTCTCCTGTATGAGTAGTTACATGAGCCAACATTTCCTGCCTTCTACGAAATTTCTTATTACAATAAGTGCATGGATGTGGAAATTCATCTGTGTGCAATTTACTATGAATATATAAAGAAGCTTTTGATTTAAATGTTTTTCCGCATGAATCACATATGTAAGGTCTTTCTCCAGTATGTGTTCGTCGGTGATCTTCTCTCGTAGCTTTTGATGCGAAAGATTTGCTACATATATCGCAAGTAAAATTTTTTAGTTTTGCATGTACATCTTTTAAATGCCTAGAAAGACCACCAGAATCTCTAAATTGTTTTCCACACACATGACAAGTAAACGGCCTTTCGTCTGTATGTATTCTCATGTGTCTGAGAAAGGAGTCTTTTAACTTAAAACATTTTCCACATTCAATACATTGATAAGATTCTTGAACATTAATAATAGTTTTGTTCTTCATATGTTCACAAGAATCCTTTAACTCTTTTGTATTACTAGAACAAATTTTACATTTTCCTTTTAATTTTTTATTTTTATTTTTTATATTTAAAGAATCTGTTGGTTTATATGTTTCATTATGTAATTTTAATTTTTCTAAATTATTTGAACTATATATTTGAGAAAGTTCTTCTTTTACAATAATATCATTGTTGTCTTGTAGTTGATCAGATATTATACTAGGTTGATCAAGTGTTGAATTCATGACAGTAATCCATACCGAATCGCAATCTCCACTATCTGCAGGCTTTCTTTCTTGCAACTGGAACTTTTTTCTGTATGGCTTCCAAAATACATTCTGCATATCTAGGAACACTCTAAATGGTGTTCGCATATTACTGGACCTGCAAAACAGTCAATACTTGACTTCGAATTTGCAGCTATATGATGTACAAGGTTGTTCTTGTTTAATCCAATTATCAATGGTATTTGAGAAAATTAAGATTATTTTTCTTGATAATTCTTAATTTCATAGTCATGTATCATTTTCTCAGGATATTTATATAAATATATATATATATAACATTTATAAAATTGTTTGTAATTGTCTTTGTATATAACTATATAAATATTTTGATTGAAAGAAATCACAGTAATCCAAGTTTCATACTTCAAATTGAAAATAGTCAATATGTAAAATATTTTTTAACAATATTTGTCTCATGTGTTAAAAATTTTTTTATTCATTGCATAATAATTATTAAAATTGATATTATAAAAATATTATTTAATTAAAATTATTTTATTATAAATTTAATTTTATGAAATTAAATTTAATGTTATTTATATTGGGCATATTTTCTGCACGTTCATTATACATGTTACATAAACTCCAATATATTAATTTAACTTTTAGATTTTTTTTTTTTAAATAAAAAAATCATTACCTGTCTGAATCATTACCAGTAACAGCTAAATCTCTTGAAACTTCATCTTTCACAATTTCTTGTTGCTGATGCTATAATTAAAAGAGATTATCATTTAAGACATATATGAAAATTTATGTTATTTTTATACTTACAACCGATTCTGTTATATTAGATATAGATGTTGTATCTTGTGTAGAAGTTTCCAATTCTTCTGTTCCCTATAAAGTACATATTTTTTAAATCACATTTAGAATAGCTAAAAAATAATTGTTTTTATATATACCTGTTTTTCTTGTAAAGCATCTTGCATCTCTAATAATCTTCTTTCTGCACTCAAACATCCTTCTAATAATTCATGCCATGCTAATAATGTAGCAGCACAGTGATAACACAATTGTAATGGAAGTGTATCATTTTCAGTTATCTATGAAAGATATTTTATATAAATTTAATATATAAATAATCTATATGTGAATAAAAATTATATATAAAATAAAAAATAAATGCATACACATATTGGTAAATATTTATGTATTTTATTACATAAGTCATGTTGTAAACCTTCTCCTTCAAATATTGGGATTAAATGATCATTGGTATTAGCACATATTCTGCATAAATTAGACCAGGAAAATTGTTCATTACATTGAGTTACTGTTGATTCTTCATTTGAAACTTCTATTACATTTTGCTGTTCAGTTTGAACATCAGTTACTACAAAGAATCCTTCTTCCTCACTTTCTAATTCAGTACGTGTATTTTCATTAACCATATTCTTTACAGTTTGAATTAAGATTGAATGTTCTTCACATGGTTCTAATATAACAGGATTTTCAGATTCCATTATATCTATGATATTGAATGCAAAAACTAGATTAATATTAAAAATATAATTATACCATATTTTAAAATTCTATAAAGATATGTACTTACAAAAAAATTAATTATTATAAAAATATAAAGAGTGCTCTTTACACTTTGCATGCACGATTAAGATAATAGAAATTTTAAATTAAGTTTCGTTTCTTTTAAAATTTCATTTTTTTTCATCCATATATAGGATATTTCAAATCATTCAAGACATTATTCGGATTCATTATTTTCTCATTTTGAATCACTTAACAAAATAAAAAATTCATCAAATTTTTTTAATTAATAATCATTGTCATAAATCTTTACAAAGTTTTAACTCTTTACATGACATTTTCGCGCCGATTTATTGGATTATACGAAAAAAATAGATAAAAGAATATCGTTGTATACATATAAAATATATAATTTATTTTAAACTGTTTTACTAAATAAGATATTTATTTTATAATTGTAATATCTTCTCAAATTTCATATAACTCTTTCCGACATGATAATACCATAGACAAGATACAGAATAGATTTAACATTCAATTTTTTATTCCATGCCTCGGAGTATTAAGACCATATATTTTAGTGTCATCCTTAATTACTGATTCGATTGCAGAATAAGTTTGTAACGTTCTTAATAGTTAGAATTAAAATTAAAATTTCAATATAAAATTATAAACAAGAAATAAAATAAATATTTTGTTGCACAATATCTTATAAATATACATGAAATACTCTATTTTATAAATATATTTATGTAAATTATGAAACATAGATTGGTGGTTCTATGTTATTATGTATATTTTTTATTATTATGTTATTTTTATACAGAATAATTAGAAAAAGTTACTTTTAGTAAGCACTAATTACAAATAAAATTTTATTTTGCAAATTATTTTTATTTATTTCAAAAAAATATTAGAAAAAGTTTAAGGAAAAAAACATTTTATGCATATTATTTATAATTTATTTTTTATTTTATTAGATTTTTACTTATAACTTATTTTATTTAGAATTAATTTCCATCTTGAATTAATACATTATTAATTTATAAATTTATTTCGTAATGAAAATTAATATATTATAAACTATGTCTCCAAAAATAAAATACTTTTTCATTAAATCATATTTACTAGCATAATATTTGTAAATTTGCAATATATTTAAAAATTTAAAAATCATTTATATATGATTATTAAATGAAATATAATGATACACAGCATCAGTTTGATATTCCGTACCTCTACGATCATGTGATCACGTGGCAAAAGTAAACTGGACAAAAAGAATAAATAATAGAAGAAAAACAGAAATAAGATAAAAATATAGGAATCAATGCTATCTCCAAAGTACTGCAAATAAAACTAATATAAATAACATCAATACAATAAGAATATAAATAAAGTAAGAATTGATCACCATTATTATTTCTTAAATGTCAAAGGCAAGATAAAATAAAGATTAAAGATTAGCGTCATCTTTTAAATATTTTCAAAAAATAACTTTTGCAGAGATAGCGTTGATGAGAGTTCTTATCTACTCTATCCTTGGTCTTTTTATTTTACGTATATATGTATTCTTTTTTTTTTATTTACAACATTTTAGAAATGATACTGATTTTAATATTTTGTATCAGTATTATACAATCAAAAAATTCCCTATTTTTAGTACTATATAATATATATAATAATACTTTCCTATATAATTAAGTTAATAATTCCCTAGTTTGTGTTAATAATTCCCTAGTGTACATAGTTACAATTTCTTAGGTATAATATAAGTTAGGTTGGTATTAAATTTAAGTAAAGAAATTATCAAAGAGAGCAAAGGGAAATTTTCACTAGTTACTATATATTACATTATGTGTATCATGTACTGTTTTACACAAAGAAGAAAATATATTTTTAAAAGTTAAAAAAATTTAATCTAGAAAGTGTTGAATAATTTAATTTTTCAATTTTGACGATTTCATTACTTATATTTTTTACTTGTATACTTGTATACATTTTATATGAAGATTGGAGGTATGCAAATTATTAAATTTCAAAGTATAACACAAAAATTAGAGGTTATGTTATGTTTTGTTTATGATTCAAATTAAAATATATTATGATACTTCTTATTGAGTTTATTTTTTTTAATGTTACTATTATAAAGTATTTATTATTTGCAAATAATAGTAATAAAGCTAAAAATAAAAAATTTAATAAGTTATACATTTTTTGTTTTATTAAATAATTATAATATGTAATTTTAGTTTTTCATATATCCTTTTTTTTCACAAAAATTGTTCATTTTATATTAATTTTTATTATTTTTAACGAATTACAAAGATATTACATATTACTTAGATATGTTATGTTTCTAATTAAAATATTATCTTTTTTATTACAGTTTTTTATTTCATCAATTTAAGAATTTTTAAAATATATTCCTTTAAGATATATTATTAAAAAAATGGCACATTATAAAGGAGCAGCTAGTGAAGCTGGCAGAGCCATGCAGCTTATGAAAAAAAGAGAAATTGCTCAACAAGAGATAGAATTAAGAAAAAAGAAAATTGAAGATGACTTAAAAATTCATAATATAGAAAACAAATTTGCAACACATTATAATGCTGTTGAACAACAATTAAAAACATCTACTATTGGTTTAGTTACTTTGAATGAAATGAAAGCAAAACAAGAAAATATAGTAAAAGAACGCGAAAGAAAATTGGCTCAAAAAGAAAGAGAAAAGGAACAAGAAAAAGAAAGAGCACTTGCTGCAAAACAAGCTGAAAAAAATAAACAAAAAAAGCAAATACAAGCTTTGTCATTTAATTTATATGAAGACGAAGCAGAATTTTTAGAAGGAGAAACAGAAAAATCTGAAATATTAAAAAATAATGATATTGGACCAGTAATAAAAAAAATAAAAAAGAATCCAGATGTAGATACAAGTTTTTTACCCGACAGAGAAAGAGAAGAGGAAGAAAATAGATTAAGAGAAGAATTAAGACAAGAATGGGCTAGAAAACAAAATGCATTAAAAGAGGAGGAAATTGAAATTACTTTTAGTTATTGGGATGGTTCTGGCCATAGAAGAAGTGTTATTATGAAAAAAGGTAAAGGTTTAATTATTATTGTAATAATTGATATTTTTTTTCATGTATTACAAGAATAGTTTTATGCTAATTGTTATTAGTTTGCACTTGTTAGGTAATTCTATTTATCAGCTTCTTCAGAGATGTTTAGAAGTTTTAAGAAGAGAATTCAGTGAACTTAAAACGATTATGGCTGATCAGTTAATGTATGTTAAAGAAGATCTTATTTTGCCACATCATTATACATTTTATGACTTCATTGTAACAAAGGTAAATTTAACATAAAAATTTTATTTTATAAATTTACATGATGTTATTAACATATTATTTATGCTAACTTTAGGCAAGGGGAAAAAGTGGACCACTTTTTACATTTGATGTTCATGATGACATTCGTGTTATGCATGATGCCTCTGTTGAAACAGAAGAATCTCATGCTGGAAAAGTATTGCTTAGGTACTTTATATTTTTCATCAATCAATCAAACTATATATGATTTTTATATATAAATTATTAATTATATTTTATTTCAGATCTTGGTATGAAAGAAATAAACATATATTTCCTGCTAGTAGATGGGAACCTTTTGATCCAACAAAAAGTTATGATAAATATACAGTATCAGATAAAAATAGAAAAAAAGACAAAATTTAATGAAAAATAGATTGTATAGAAAATAATTGTACAAAACCTATTAATATATGTTGTGTTCAGTAAAGGAAATTTAAATTTTAGAACAAATTTCAATTTTGTTAACTATATATATTCAAAAAATATTAATATATATTAATAATATTGATATTAAATAATTATATAATCAATTGAAACTTATAATTTTTAATTACTTATTATAAGTAAAGATTGATATAATTTAAATTTTGAACTAAACATTATATAATCTTATATATTTCAAATAATGTATAGAAATTTCATAAAGATATTTTATAAAAAAAATATTTATAGTGAATAATATTTTATTTAGTACTTTGATAAGATAACTTTATAATAATATAAAGTTAATATTAATAGAAAAAGAAAAATTATTTTATTATATTTTCATTCATTATATTCATTTTCAGTGTCTTTTATAATTGATAATGGATCTATTATTTGAACTTCCTTTATATCTTGATCTATCAAATTATTATCAATATCTTGTAAATTTTCTGTTGATATAGTATTATGTATTGAAATTACACTATTTATATTAAATATATTGTCATTTTTTTTTAAAGACTCTTCTTGTTTATCAGATAAGTTTTGCTGAAAAATTTATTATTTATTAAAATAATGTTAATTAAAAAATTTTAATGAATTTTATTATTAATTTACTTTTTTATTTGTTTTTAATAACATTTCTGTTATTTCTATATCTTTGCATGTATTTATGATGTATGGATTAATATAGAAATCTTCCATTGTATTATTTATTTTCTCAATATAACAAGTTGAATTAATAAATTTCCATTTATCCTTTAGATAAGAAATAAAATTTAAAAAAATTAATAATACTTAGTAATTTAATTTTATAAAATTCAATTTATTAATATAACTTACTTCGTTATCGAGATTTAAAAGACTTATTTTATCTTCATTTTCACATAATTGTTGTTCAGAATTACTTGTCTCGAATGAGTTGTTAGTGTCATGAAAATCTATTTTTGTAATTTTTTAGAATTCAATTTTTGTTAGATTTTTAATTATATAAATAAATATAATAGATATACATATATGATATATACTATCTAAAATGTTCGGCAATAATGTTTTTGTTTATTCGAAAATATATTAAAAATTATTATTATTGAATTCTTTTGTACATTATTTTTATTATCATACCTGTATTTAGTGTAGTGTATTTTGGACATAAATAAAAAAATTGTCGTGTATTTTCTGCTAGTTTGCCAGTTTCACATGGATTTGATGCTAAAATTTTTTCTAGCCGTTTTCGATTTTCACATTGATAAGTTAAAGTTTCTTCAATTGCTTCCTATTTTCATGATTAAAATGATTTTATTTATAAAAATAAAAATAATTGTTTTTTCATTTTATACAAAAATTTTACTTTTATTTTATCATTCATTATATGTATAAGATTATCAAGATTTTCCACTTCTAAAATTTCTTTTTGTATATTCTCATCTTTTGTATCATTTAAAATATTAATGTCCTGTTTCCATTCATTTTCAAGCAACTCCTCATTATATAACTCCTCATATTGAAATTCTAATTAATTAATTAATAAATAATTTGATTTATTGAATCTAAGAAAATACTTATATTACATATTACTAAATAAGAATAATAAAAATATTAAGATATCTAGCAAAAGAAATTTTATATTGAATATTTAAGAAATATTTAAAGAATTGTTTCAAATTAAATAGTTTCTATAATTATATAAATATATAAGTATAGTATGATAAATAAAATGATCATTTTCGAACATATTTTTTTTTAGAAAAATGCAATAATGATGATATAATTTAATTGTAAAAATTATCTTAATATATCAGCATTTGTTTATTTTTTTATTTGATATCGTTATTCGTCGAATTATTTAAAATAAAAGTACCTTTTTTTGTTTTCCATGAAATTTTCATTTTTTCTATTTGATCTTCCACAATTGAAAAATCATAAAAATCCTTTGTAATTGAATTCAGAGATGATTCCGATGTAGAGTGATTGGTTTGTAAAGATTCTATTGACGATGATCGAGTCAAATTTATAAATGATATTTTATCACATTTTTCAATAGTTTTCAATGCAAACTGATTTTCATTAATATTATTTTTAGGAGTATATATAGAATTTTCTGATTTTATTTTACTTTCAGTTGAAATAAATGAATGATTTTGTTGTTCAATATTAGATTTAACCAAAGATAATGATTGATTATCGTCGAATTTACTACGCAATTGTGATTGCGTTTTAAATTTTTCTTCATCGCTGCTATCTTCCGTGTACAATTCTTTTTCTGATATCCATATTTCTTCTTCTTCTTCCTTTGAAGATATTGAAATTTGATTTATTTCGATTTATTCAATGATCGCTTATTTCTGAGATTAATTATTAAATAGAAATTTCATAGAATTTGTTAGTTCACCTCCTTTTTGATTTTAATAACAAGTTGAGATTTTATTGCAGTTTTCATAGACTGTTCTTGCAATTTTGGATTGCTTGTTGTTTTGTATGTATTGGCCATCTTATTATTAAATATCAGGATGCTATATAAATAAACATATAATTTCTTAACTTAGCATATTAGGAAATGACGAATATGTTTAATATTATAAAAATCATTGATGAATAAAAAGTCAATTTAAAGATCGTGGTATAATAATCATAACTTTTTTCAAGATTAGCTTTCTTTTCTATCCTTTTGAAAAAATGAAAAATTAGTAGAAAATTGAATGTGATTATGTTCTTTAAATTTTTTCAAATTTAATTGTAAGTTTAACTTAATTCAATGTATGCATGTGATGTGTTCTTGAACTAAGAAAATCTGGAACAAGACTGAAACGGATTAACGGATAACATATCACAATAAGTGCAAACAATTTAAATTTATGATCACTTGAAGTTACTATAATTTGAAATTTAACGAAAATGTTTTGTTTTAATAATTTATCAATATTATCATATTTTAAGAATGTATGATAATTTTATATTTAAATTTCAATTTTGTTAATTTTTATTTATTTAATATTTTTTAATTTTATTTTTTTTTAATATTAATTAATTATAATTATAATTAATTAATTTAATTTTATTTTTTTAATATTCGATTAAAAATAAAACTATTTTCGTTTATCAAATTTTATCAATTATGAATGTAAAAATCATTTAAAAAATAAAATGCATTATAAAATTTAATGTAAATTTACATAAATTATTTTGCAAACATATATTTGTTAGAATATATTTTATAAATTCTTATTTTAAAATCATGAATTAACAAAATTTTAGAATATTATCTTGATTCGAATATTATCGCATATATATTTGAAATCAAATATAATGAGAAATGGGATTCACGTGATAATTTTTTATATAACTCTTAATGACAAGTCTTATCAAACATTATATGGATTTAATTATATTCTTTAGATTTAAAATGTTCACGACATTATTAAATTCTATTTATTATAGATATATATATTTATTTTATATATATATATATATATAATTCTATATATTATATATATATATA